CTACAAACATCTCCCTCTAATGCAGCAATGAAGCAGTACGAGCACCTCCTCCTCGGGGCTGACCTTTGCGATGTTTATCCACTAGTGTTCGCTGTGTCCTGTTAGGATCGTATCTTGGAACAAGGAGAAAATAACCTTTTCTCTCTGCTTCTTCTCCCCTCCCAAACAGCCAAGGATTTCATCAGACATCTACTGGAGAAAGACCCGAACACGAGGTTTACCTGCGAAGAAGCCCTGCGGCACCCCTGGTGAGAGCGCCGGGGCCACGGCAGTACCGGGTGGCCACGGGGATTCACCAGCCCCCGCGTCCCGCTCCACGTGCCCGCTGGCAGCTGAGAACAGGGGTGTCTCCCCCGCCCCCGTTACTAACGTCACCGTCTGCCTCCGCGTGGCCCTGGGTGTTTCTTTTTATGTGCAAAGAAAGAAAATGATGAATAATTAAAGATGCAATTTGTGCATATTTGCCTCCCTAAACAGAGGCAAAGAAGAAATCCCATCCTGAGCTTTCCCAGGCTTTGAAGTGTGTGTTTGTGTTACATTTTGTTGCTGTTTTTCCTTTGGGTTTAATTATTGCTGATTGAACGTACAAAGCAGTTAGTTGCCTCCAGAATGTGGAATGCCTTACAAATGCCATCTGCCTACGAGCCCATTTTCTTCTCTCCCCATCTGCAGGATTAATGGAAATACAGCCCTTCACCGTGACATATACCCATCTGTCAGCGCTCAGATTCAGAAAAACTTTGCAAAGAGCAAATGGAGGGTAAGTCGTTTGCTGGTGGGAGCCCAGAGCCATTTCACTAACAAACGCCAGTCGCTGCCATCCAGCAATAAGCACGGCTTCAGCTGTGTGGGTAAGCACCCAGAAGCTGAGATCCTCCAAAGGCTGCCTGAAAATTGCATGCAGTTACTGTTTATACTATGTTTGGACCAACGTTCCCTGCTGCAATGCATACTGGTAGCTTTACCACACACAGCGCACTAGAGCGGCCTCGCCAAGAAAGTAAAGGGGAGCGGGAAAGGATTATCGCTGTTACACTGAGGGAGCGAAATTGGTGCTCCATCAGCAGATCTCGTTGTGAGTTTAATCCAGCTTTTCCTCCTTTCAGTCTTGAAGATAAATTGGCACTTCATTTATATCAAGTGTTTTAGTAAGAATTTAGGTGGAGAGAGGAATGCCATAGGAACCACGTGTGCGACAGCATTTTAAATACTTGCATTCAAAATTCAGCTCTAGTCTCCGTTTCACACCACGGGGTAATTTACAGCTGTTCCCCTGATTTCCTCCCGTAGACGTGGCTGTAATCTTCAAAAGCATCCACAGTTTGTGCTCAATGGAAACCGCAGTGTTTGTGCCAGGAACGAGCACGTCCCACTTCCCACGTATTGTGCCAACAGAGAGTCAGTGTACCCAGTGCCGCGCTGCCCACGGCGCACAGCCACCGCCGGGGGGGACAGCCCCTCCGTCCCCCCGCGCCCGCCCAGCCTGGCATCGCTAGGTGCTCACCGCGGGGTTTTTGTCTTCTTCCCCAGCAAGCCTTCAACGCCACAGTCGTCGTGCACCATATGAAGAAGCTCCACATGAACGGCCACGCAGCGGCTGAAAGCACCCTCCCCGTTATACGAGTCTCCGAGCCGTCCAGACCCAACACGCCCATGGTGGCCAGCCGGCCAGAAACGCCAACCGAAGACAGGGACACGTCCCTCCCGCTGGCGCCCACACGGGGCTCTCCAAACCCTCCCTCTCAGCAGGAGCAAGACACAGGAATGAGAGAGGGAAAGCTGCAAAGCCACCTGGAGAACGGAGCGCTGCCCACGGGCAGCAGCCTGGTCGTGCCGGATAACCACAGCCCGCCAACCAGAACTTCTTGCGGCTGCAGTCCAGCCTGCGTGGGGCACGAGAAAACAAAGACCTCCTTCTGCTCCGAGACAGTGCTTCTTAAAAAATCGGCAAAATCCCAGTAGGTATCCAAGTCATTAGCCATAATTTCCAACAAAGTATATGGGAATAAGCATCTCTGGAAGGAGTTACCCAGCACATAAGTTGCCAGCCCTAGGTGGAGGTAGAAAGGAGGGAGGAATAAGGACAGAAGCAAACGCGAGCGGCTGCATAGCCATGCCAAGTGTCCGCCATGCTCGTAGGAGCATCGGGTGAGGCACATTGCCCAGGCTGTGTGGCAAAGCTCGCGGCGAGCTGAGGCAGCAGCACCCGGCTGCCACACACCGTTGGCTCCAGCGCGTGTGCTCTCCAGCAACTGAAACTGCCCCCGGGTAAAGCTGCTGCTGCCAATTGCTCAGCTGGTGCTGCGTGACTGCACCCTGCCTTTGCTGCAGCGTCGACTTGCACCCAGCTCTGCTTTGCTTTCAGCAGCTGATGTTCTTTATATTAAAAAACACATTTTGATTCACCTGCAGAATGATCGTAAATATTACTCTTTCTCTTTTTAATTCTTTCTCTTCTGATTCTTCCATTTCCAACAGTCACTTCAAATCAGAAGTTCTTGTTCCAATGAAAGCCAGTAAACACTCTTCTCACTGTGGCACTGGGCAAACTGGAGTTTGCTTGATCATGTGATGAGGCGGCAGCCACCGGGCTCCCCACATGGCCAGCGGTAAGTGCTCTGCAATCCAATCACTAGCTGCTTTTAATTAATCCCATTATGGCATGAAAAAGGGAAAGGCACAAATAGCAAAGTAACTGGACATGAAATGAATTGACTCACAGGGCTTTTGCATCAGAAAAAGCCTTAACTAAACCATCTTCAAGGAAGAAATAATCTTTCAGCTTCCGTTAAGGCCAGTGCAGTGACTCTGGATCCAACTTTGACGATTACAACAGGGTTGCCCAAGGAGTGTGTGAGAGGAAGCCAAGCATGGACCTGTCATATCAAACTCTACAGTTACTCAAAGCTGCTCACTGGGAATCACACTGGAACCAAACACCTCCCTCAGCTGGGATTAGGGCTTTTCAGCTGGGTCTCAGCTCTGACCACGAGCAAAGGGCCGACCACAGGCTGGTCCACAGCCAAGCGTAGACAGGACAACTCTGCGGCCTGAAGGGCCGTCCCCTGTGCCGGACTCAGCCCAGGCAGGTCAGTTTAAGCAGCTTTGTTGGCAGAGAGCAGACTGTGGAGATGTTCCTTTTGTAGGTGAGCAGAGTACAATCATGAAAGTGTCATCTTATGTGACCGTAGCTTGGATTCATTCTGGACTAGCTAAATTGTTACCTTTTGCATCACATTATACATGAGCAGCAAGAAGTATTGCTGTTAGATCCTGCAATAAAGAATGTTCCTCAAAGGTAGCAAAGTCCTCCACAAAAGCTACATGAAGTGAGCTACATCCCATCATCTTTTATGACACTCTCTACTGATGAGATTATGTGAACAGAACTGCAATATACGGAGGATTAATAGAAGAGACAAATGCAAGTAAGATCTACTATAGGCTCCAGAAAGGTCCATCCCAACGATCAGTCGTGTAACAGCCCTTTATAAATAAGCACACAAAGGGATCTGAGCTGTTCTAACCCCCATGCTACTGCTTATTAACAGAGCACATTTTGAAGGTAGCAGTCTAGCGAAACAAAGTTCAATCCTCAACTGAAATTCTCTCTCTTGCAGAAACAGAAGGGCTGTTTTACTCTTTTCTGCACTTCAAAGCCAGACATCAACAGTGCAAGCAAGAAAGGAGGCTGTGTCCCGCCAGGAGCAGGCGGGCAGCAGCGTCTCAGAGAGCAGCGAGCGACTGGTGACAGCAGCACGTTAGTCCCAGGAATCCATCAGTGCAGTGACCTCGGGGTGTCTCTGGATCGTTAAAGCTGGGAGAAGGCACTTTAGCATGGGAAAGTCTGAGGCTACTGCTAGCGTATTCAGTGTATATTATCCATACGACATCGCTCAATGCTGTAAGCTTTTGTTTTCTGTATACCGTTTAGTTGTTCAATGCATAATAAGTGCACTGCACAACATAAGTCCTATAAACCAAAGCCATGCAGAGTTTTACTCAGTGGCAGCTCAGTTATTTTTACAATCTGCATCCTATCCACTCCTTGGATTTTGGTTAGTCCCAGGCTTCGGCACTCTGAAGTTCAGCATCAGCCAGCTGCCCAGGCTGCACAGTTCTCACTTCAGCTACGAAAGGAGAGACAACCTGCTAGCAACCTCCGTATGTCTGATAATAATCACAGCAAGGTCTAAATTCCCTGCTTTCAAGTCTGTAATTGCACAATAAATACTTGCTTAATAAAGCTGAGTTTTGTTTTGTAAAGTGCCTGTTGGTTATTCATAGAAATTTGATGTGGAAATGGTCTATTAAGTCCCTTCTAAAGCCTTCCCCGTGCATCTGCAGACCTGCTCCCTCTGGTATTTCTCCGGCAAAGCGTTACATGGTAAATAAGCAGATTGTGGCAGAAAGTCAAGCAAGACTTTTGACTTCACCGTTGAGTATGAGATTGCATTTCTCTTATTTGTACACATATAGGCATGTTGTAAAGATAGGGTGGAGATAGAATTCTCCATTTCTCTGATCCAGTCCTTTGAAGAAAGATCTAGAAGGGAAGTACTGAAGCCATGGCAAGTTTGAAGGATTAACTGCAGTGTAGATAAAAAGTTTTAAAAGGCCCTACGTGAGGGTTTTAATTTGAACAGCGAAATTCAGCTAAAAGAGCTTGAATTGGCTAGAACAAGAAAAAGAAAGAATGTCTTGGTTTATAAACCCCTCTGGAAATAACAGCTTTGGAGATGCTTTTATTCACAAAGGAAGATTGATGTCTCTCCCCCTTTTTCCTCCAACCATGGGCAGCTTCCGCCAGTCCAAGCAAGGTTAGCCCTCTCCAGGGGGTCGCTGCTTTGGATCAGCTATTTTCCAGAGGTACAGAAACTCAATTTGCTAAAAACAGAGACATGAGGCACATGAGAACTCCAGCTGGAAAACGGGAATAAATATAGAAGTCAGTGTCTGCAGAGGAGGAAGGCAATGCCGTTGGAGCCCGGGCACCTCGCTCAGGAGCAGCTCTCATAGTAGGCGACTCGCTTGTTGATGGCATCCCGGATCCTTCCCACCCGCTCCTCCAGGTCCGACAGTTTGGACGACTTGGACATCAAAGCCTTGTTGCTTTCCTGAATTTCCATCTCTAAAGCTGAGGAGAGAGGGCAGGAAAGGGTTCCGCAGTGATCAGACAGGAGGAAGGCACCATGGCCATTACTTTCCCCGGCAGGTTGGGCTGAGCCTCCACCTCCCTTCTGCACAGCTCTGGTGGGGCAACGAAAACAGATATCGCCGCCGCCTCCTGCATTCCCCCTTCTCCCCCTCAAAAACACCCAAACTCAACTACTCCAAACAAAGACATTACTTTTGAATGCTTAAAAATGGAAGCGAGCGTGTGGAAGAAAACAGGGGCACATCGGCACCACAGGCAGGGCGTCCCTTCCACGGCCACCCCCACGCCCTTGCAAAATCTAAATTTACTGGCACAGCACCAGCAGACACAGCCCAAACCGGCACCGTCTCACTGCCCGAAGTATGCTGTCTTGCTCGTAATTTTTTTCCCACACTCTGCTGGGAGTCCAAAGCCCTCCCCCAGTGTGTAGGATTATTATATTGAGTTCACAAAGCATCTTACTTTCCATCCTGAGCATCGTGGCCAAAGTTTCCTCAAACAGAGCCTGTGCCTCCAGGTCTATGCTTTGCACCCTTCTGCCCTGCTCTCCCAGAGCCGGGCTCTGCTCCATCCTTCTCTTCAGCTCAGCATACATTTGTTTCACTTGTTCGAAAGCCTGTGGAAAAGCAAATAAGCAGTGTAGGTAGGATCAAGCAAATAGACTGGGGGGAAGTGGATTTTCCAGTGCTGAATCCCTTTTAAATATTAAATGGATGCTGCACTAGAGCTTTGCCACGATGTTATCATGTAAATGCATCACAGTTTGTGATGCACTTTGAAAGATATGACCGACAGCTGTATGGGCTACTCTGCCTCAGGGAGAGATGCAGCAGAGAGAAGTTTCCAGCAAAAAGCATTAGGATTGAGAAAGGTCCTGGAAAATTTCAGTAGTGGGATAATGCATCAGATTAATAAGAAGTGACATGACGATGCACAAGCCGTGGCCTGAACAGGAAAGCCTCCTCGCCTCATCCAAAAACGTGCCAGGACACAGCTGGCTTTGCTGTCTAATGACAGCGGGGAAGTGGAGTATGGCTGTGACCGCTCTGGCCTTTGCTGTGCTGGAGCCCCGTACCTGCTGCGCGCTCCTGGCCTGCTCGCCCGCCTGTTCGGCTGTCTGCTGCGCGTCGGTGGCCCGCAGGCGGTTCTGGTCCACTCTGTGCTGCAGCTGCGACAGCCTCTCCATCAGCCCGTCCAGCTGGCTCGCGATGGACTTCACGTTCTTCTCAGCTGGACCCAGAACAGCCTCAATCTGAAAGCAAAGTGCTCCACATGAAGAAGGAAATCGCACCTGAACCCCATTCCTGAAGTTTTTTTCCTCTGTGCAGGGACCAGCTACGCTGCACAACAGCCACGTCACAGACACGGGATTTCAGCAGGGAGTGGGGACTGTTCCCTGAGCAGCTGAGCACGGCATGGCAGCCCCGGGGCTTCTCTCCCGGGGCCCTGGCAGGGACCAGGACTGGAGTTTGGAGAAGTGCCCAAGTCAGGCACAGCAGAAAGAAGAGATTTTTACAGCAAAAGCTTCACCAGGTTCCACTTCCCAGCTGCACTGGTGCAGGACTCTACCAAGTGGGGAAGTTTCAAAGGAACAGTGAGCAGGGCACAGTATCATCATTTGGGAAGTCACCGAACATCACTTACTTCATCAACGCGCTCCTGGATGAACCGGAGGGAAGAGCCGGAGCCCCTGATAGCATCCCGGGCCTCCAGGAGCACCGTGTTCGCTCGTCGCAGATTCCCGACCACCTCTTCCACACTGCCCTCCACGGCATTCGCCCGGTTCCTGGGGAAATGTGGGAAACAGCCGGGAGTGAGTGTAGATAATTGCATGCGCTGGAAGTCAAGGTCGCGGAGGCTACATAAGGAAGCCTGAGAAGCAAGACAGGACTGTTACTGAGAAGGTTGCAGTCTCCCTCCTCCAAAAGCCACAGACCCACACATCTGGACACACTGCGCTCCAGGCAGGTTTCCTTTTGAGAGAAGTGTTACTCCCATTTCATACCCCCACGCAGAGAAGACAAACTGAGAAAGCAAGAGAAAAGCCTTCCTTTAAACTAATTAGAAACATTTATTTTGTAAGTAGTGCAAGAAAAAGTATTGAAGGGAAAGCAACAACCACTGAACCAGTTCCAATGAACATTTTTCTGCTTGCAGTGGGACTAGTCAGGCCGGGTGACAGCGCTCACCATAGAAAGCCAGACTCCCTTGTCTCATCACTTCCAGCAGGTTAAGCAGGTGTCAGACATTATCAAGGAGTTTACATACTTATCCCGCTAACCTTCTCGCTGGGATATTGCTGCAAGTCAACATGTGACAAAGTAGATGCTCCAAATTTGCAAGGACACTCTGTAATTACTTTTTAAGGGACCATGGGATAATCCTCCCAACTTTCACCCAGAAAACAAATAGCCCATTTAATCTCCTCATGCTCTCTTGTGCAATTAGGATGTAGGTCACCAATATCAAGTAATACCAGGGCAACCCTGTCATCTCCCATCACAAGGACTCAAGAGATAGAGAAAAGCCTCCATTACTTTTGGTAAAGACCTTGTTGTAGTAGCTATAACAAGATCTAAGCTTGGCAGCCAGATTTTTTATTTGTACTGGGGCACCAGGGAGGTGTCTGCAGAGATTGCAGACTCATTCTTTTAGGCACCGTATCGACATGGAAGATCCTGGGCTAAAACTTCATATTGTGCAAGTTGGTACAGCTCCAGCAGAGTGAGATTTCAACCCAACTGAGAACCACCTCACTCACTCTGGCTGAGTGACCCTCAGCTACCAAAAGCCCTTGAAGCCCAACCGACCTGGCTTGTTCTGCCTCCTGCTGCAGCTGCTTGGCCCTAGCAATGTCCTCAGCTGTCTGGGCAAGTATTCTCTCCGGGCACTGCAGCTTAGTCGCCAAATTTTGGATCTCGGTCATTTTTCTCAGGACTGCGGCAGCATCCGTGGGGAGACGCAGGGAGAGAACAGACTCACTGATTTCCTGGATAGTGGCAGGGTCCGTGTCCTTGTCTACAGAGCAAACAGACAGACGGTGTCGGAAACGGGAGAGGGGAAAGGTGGGAGTGAAATGCAAGGGGGGATGAGGGCAGGCATCCAGCCACGCATGCTCTCGCGCACAGTCTCTTCATTTCAGACAGCTGCCAGGATCCACCCTGAACTGAATCCCCTCAAATTTAATACATGAGCAAAATTGTCTTGAAAGTACTCAAATGGATACCTTTAACTTGGTGACAAGAGCACCATGGCTAAGCCCAGAGCAGAGTCAGGTGGACCTCACTGAGCAGACGAGGTTCTGTTTCAAGACAAACCTCTTTTTATTTCACAAATGAAAGTTAATAAAACTGAGGAATTGGAAGCAGGCAAAGCCCAAGGGACATTAGCCCAGTGATTAGCTCAGAAATATCTTCACTCATCATTAACACCAGGCAGCACCAAATGACCTGATTTTCTTATTCAGCTAATGCTCGTGAGGCTCATTATGTTATTACAATCTGTCTGCGGACAATAAGTCATCCCATTGGTTTATGGGACAACAAGGAATTCTCGTCTGATTAATAGTCTGCTCCAGAGAAGATTTGTCTGTTTATCTCCGGTCAGTGAGTGTTGCCGGTAAACTTTTCTGCATCGGGTCAGTGCTGACTGCAAATCCTTGGAGAGCGCTGGCCACGGGGACGGGTTTGTCCACAAGCCCCAGAGATGGCACAAGGCTCTGCGGCAGAGAGCAAGACCCAAAACAAGCTGTTGTCCACACTACGGACAAAAGACTGCCTCCTCCACAGCTTTCCACTTATGTTAATTCAGTTCCTTGTTTTAGAGGTAATATTTGAGAGCAGTTGATGGGAAAATGCTGGGAGGCCCCGTCACGAATCCCTGCATACAGAAGGTCAAGGCTTTGGGGTACCTGCCCCACCGACATCACAGATGGCCCCCAAATATCCCCAGAAGGAATCCAGCAGGGTCTGCCCTGGTGACATCCCAGGGAAGTCGACACAAATAAAACAGCCAGGATTAATTTGGGTCCATCAGAACAGCATGGTCAAGCCTGAGCAAGTCAGCTGGCCGAACTGCAGTTGCTGACAAAGTCACGGACTTTTGTGCTGCTGAAATGCATTTTTCAGAAAATACTATCCAAGCCTGCTTTGCCGTCTCAGGGGATGTGCGTTACCTTTGCTACATAAATACCCAAGTGCAGATAAACTGGATATCCGAGAACTTAACTGGGGTGAGCAATTCAGCTAACTCCCTTGTACCGTATTCTCATACATAATATCATGGTAAAAATTAGGTTTTTCCATGCACAAGTCAACCTGCACAGACAGACTTTACAGCTCGCAGAGCACTACCTGACAAGAAGTTTCGGACTTGCTGGATGAACTGCTGGATGCGCCGGACATCTCCTTCTATCTGGGTCCTTGTTACGCTCATCTGGTCCACAAGCCGACGAGTATTGCTTTGAATCTGATTTGCAGATGTCTCTGTCATTTTAATCTGCAAACAACAATATCCTGATGGAGCCATTTCTTCTCGACCTGGAATCCCGGCAGCCCCACCTCAACTCTGAGTGAACTGGGCAAGGCACTTCGAAATTACGCAATTCCCCATTCTTAATATGCCACTGCTTTGAATGATTGCATATATTAAAGACTGAGGGTTGGATTTGCAAAGGAAGCTCTCAAACAGAGGCGGTACTGTTTAGCTTTTTAAAACACTTTTGAAATGGATTTTGAACGAGTTTGAAAACTCACTTTACCTTTCCATGCACCTGAGAGGCCACAGAAAGAAGCTGCAACAGCAGTAACACGTGCTCTAGACTGCATCAAATGTTAAAGCAGATACAACTGTGGATTCTGAAAGGTTTCTACGTCCCCACCCCTTCTGCCATACTAATCCCCTCCCAGGAGGAGGACAGACTTCTTTGGGACAGTTCCAGAGCCGCTCCGCGTGCCTTCAGCTCTGTGGCTCCTGTGCTGGGGGAGGCAGGACCCACGCACGCAGCAGGGAGTCTCCCACTCAAAAATCCCTGAATTTCTGCAGCTGTCCAAAAGATCCTTGATCTCAAATAGAGTTTGAGATTCGGTATTTTATCACAGTTCACTCTTAAAAAAAAAGGCTTCCCCGGCCGCGGCGAGGGCCCCGCTCGACAGGGGGAAGATGCCGTGGCAGGGCCGGCCGGCCCCGCAGGCAGTGCTGTTGTCCCGAGGGCAGAGCAGCCCCTCGCACCGGGCAGGCGTGCACGTCTCTGCTTGGAAGCCACCGCAGATCTGGAGAGAGAGAGAGAGAGAGAGCACGGTGGGGCAGTGAGGGCACTCGCCTCACTGGTGAGACCTCAGTGCCCTCAGGGAGGCAAACTAGCACATCGCAGGGGTTAAAGTTTCAACAGAACCTCACCAAGGGAGCTGGGGAACACCAGTGCTGCAGGGCTCCGCATGGGAACAGGGATGGAGCCAGCCCTCATAACAGGGCGGATGGCGATGGATATGGCGCAGCCCAAATGACCAGAGACCGTGACTGTGTCGGAGAAGGGCAGCCAGAGCTACACATGTGTACAACAGCGCTGAACGCCCAGACCTGAGACAGCAACGCCAGGTTTGCATCTCCTCACCACCCCAAGCTGGAGCACAACCAAGAGCAAAGCAGGAGCTAAACCCCAGTGGCTCACGAAGAGTAACAGAGCACGTCTGCGTGGAGCAAACGTCTCATTTGCTCTCAGGACAGCAACTCCTCCCCTCGTGGCAGGGGAACCCTGTCCAACCTGCGCAATTTGCTTTGGGAGAGCAAATGGGATGAGAAGACCCTGCCCTCTTGCCTGGACATCAGCAGGTTTAATTACATGGCATCTCCTAGAGTTACCACCCACCAAAGAGCGCACTGGAGCAGGGGCACATGCACACCCAGAGCCAGCACAAGCACCAGCACAGGCTGATCGCTTGGGAACGTGCTGCTGCCCTGAAAAGCAGAGAGGGGAGGTTGGTGGTCTCCACAGCAACCGTGCATTAGGAGACACCGAAATGGATCTCCATGGCAATAACAAAAGCAGCGAAGGAGAAATAAAAGAAACCTCACCCAGAAATTAAGTGGGTCTTTGAGATACAAGAAGTGACACATGAGGGAGTCCTTGGAGGAAAAAGTGCGTGCTTGGGAGGGGGTGGTGGGCAACGCTTCAGTATCTGTGATCCCCAGGCAAGGGATGCTCAGACTAATCTCCACTGATGTCCCAAAGCAGCAGGTTGCATGGGTGCCATTCATGAGTCTCTCTGGCCAGAGACTTTGCCTTGTGCCATGCTGGACTGTTTGAGGAAAGATGCATGACAGCCAGATGAGACTTCTGCCTCCTGAGCACTACAGGGCCCTCCTGAAAACGAGATGTGCACACTGGGGAAGCCATAAAACCACTTTGTATCTTCACCTTGTTTATGACAGGGGTCAGGTTGGGAGATGAGGCTATCTCGCCCTTCAGGGTCAGCAGCTTGGCGGTGGACTCCGCAAGCCCCCCCTCCAGCCCCATGGCACTCCTGCGGCTCTCCCGGGACTCGGCCAGCAGCCCAGAGGCGCCGGCGACGAGGCTGCTGGCATTGGTGGAGGTCTGGTAAGCAGATCTGATTGTCTTGAAGGCTCCTGCAGGAATAAAACCGATAAATGACACAAATGCCTCCATGACTCATAAATGCAGCACAGCTACCTAAACGAAGGCATTGACTACACCCTGCAAGTGGATGTGTGCACAGAGAGGAGGGGGACACAGCCAGTGATTAGTCACTACAGCACAATGAAAAAGCTCCTGTTATTTCCAGATGCCTTTCAGCCATTCCTTCAGTGAGCTACAGAGCTTTCCCGAAGGACTGAACTCTGGATTGGGGCTAAAAGATAGAAACAAAACTACAGCAAGACGACATGCACATGCTGATCCTGGGCTTTGCTCTGTGCAGCCCAGAAGGGCTTTGGCGGGGCAGGACAAGGTTCTTTCAGAGCCCTTTCCCTGGCTGCCGAGCAGGTCCCACCATTCCCCTCCAGCACAGCCTGGAAGGAGAGCAGTGGGACACGGACCTCCAAGCCCTGCTCCGACGGCGAGGTGCAGAGCGAACCTGCCCAGGCAGCGGCCACTCGCTGCAGCTCCCATGCTCCCGACCGGCTGAGCTGCACTGCAGCGACGAGGGGGAGGCAGCAATGAGACACTCGGAGAGAATTAGCTGTAACAGGGATATAATGGCAGCCTACCACCAGCACCATCACAGGGCTTAATTAGCTCTTCTCCTAAGTGCCTGACAGCCACCTGGCTCCCTTCCCCACCCCTCCATCCCTTCCATCTGTGCACAACCTTCATTATCTCAGCTTCCTCCTGGGTTCAGTGACACGCTCGCAGCAGGGCTCCCCCCTTCCCACCGCTCCCGCTGAGCCCCGGCAGCAGAGTTTGTGCTGGCTGGGGGACGGGAACGTGGTGTCCACGGAACGAGCTGCCCAGCCCCAAAACACCAGAGCAAATAACCTGATAGCGTGAAATCCTGGGTCGTGTACCACAGGTTGGGTAAAAAGCATCCCTCTTGTTGGGGAGGGAAGATGCATTTGCTGTTTCTAAGCTGACAGCAGGTTAAAAACTCTATTACAGCCACCGGGCCGGTGGGAAACCACCAGACACAGTCACACATAGGTAAATTAACGACTGCAAATTAAGAGATATTACAGCTGCAGCACTGTACCTGACAGATCCGTGCTGCGGCTGGTTTCAAACTGGGTCTTCTTGCTCTGATACTGGGTGTTAGTGATAAGCAAGCTGTTGTTGAGGGCTTCAAGCTCCCTCGATAGAGAGGCACTCTCATCCAGAAAATGAAGGTCAGGATTTATACCCCGGACCTGCTCTCTGGGAGAGAAAAAGCAGAAAATGTGAATTCAAGTAGAGAGCAAAGCACCTGTAAACAGAGAGCAGGGCTCTCCTGCGCTGGGATACTGCCAGCACTCAGTGAAGAGGCACTTCTGAGCTCGCAGAGCTGATGGCCAAGGACATGCGATGGCCTTGCAGGTTTGCAGAGGCAGCAGAGAGCGGCACTGGGCTACAGCTCTCCCACACCAGGCCAGCTCGCAGGGATTAGGCATGCTGAACATGCCCGGAGGATGCCAACCGTCCTGAGCCTGTCCACCGGCCTCTCCTGCCTTTGCAATGTTTTGCACAGGACGGGCACACATGGAAGTGCTGCTCTCTTGCATCCCGGGTCACCGCATGAACAGAGCAAGATTTTCAGGTACAGAAACAAAGCAGAACACGTACAAGCAGCTCAGTGTGACGAGTGAGCACACAGGAAAAAGCCAGCATCCCCTCCCAACTACGGGATGCACCCTGTTAGCAGCATCCATGCCTCACCTGATCGCAGTGAGCATGCTGTCCACCTGGGCCAGGCTCTGCTCTGTGGCGGGAGCACGGCTGAGGATGCCCTGTGCCTGCTGCACGTTGCCCTCCGCCTGCAAGAGGCGGGGGCTGAAGCGGGACCCCCCGCTCCCCGGGGGCAGCCGGGAGGTGGAGTTGCTGAGGCCGGCCTGGCGCAGGCGCAGGCGCTGGATGTCCCCGTCGTAGGCACGGAAGCAGGGGTGGCACAGCTCGCAGCCGGGGTAGGTGTTGCAGTGGCCCCGCTGGCACTGGTCGCAGCGGAGGCCCGTGACACCAGGGCGGCAGAGGCATCGGCCTGTGGTCTTGTCACACCCCACGTCCTCCGTGCCCTGGAAGTCGCAGTCACACTCTGGGGAATGGAAAGGTGGAGAGATATAGAGGTGAAGACCACCAAAAGGGGAGGGGGGAGAATAAATTTAGAGAGAGATAGAGAGAGAGAGATATATAAAATCAGACCCCGTTAATAGGATGCCAACACAATCTGAAGTCCAACCCCACTGTCAGCCCCTGTAGCATCTGGGAAGGAGGAACGGGAAGAGCCCCCAAGCCCGGTCGCCCACCCAGCCCCTGACCCTGCAGGGCCAAACTGGCATGGCTAAGGGTCTCGCCCAAGGCTGCTGGGAGGGGACTGGTGCATACCTGGAGAGCAACAGGGATTAACTAGGAAGCTGTTCCAGACAGGAAATTTCTCTTGCAAAATACCGTGGGAAATGCTGATGTCAGGATATGGGCCAGGTGCTCTTTCCCAGATAACCCGTGATTTCATAGTGCTAAGCAACACCAAGCCAAAACGAAACGGATGCTCCCTACCTGTGCACCCTACCCGGCCGTCTCCATAGTGCCTGTCTGGGCAAACCTGCTCCTGCATGGCAGAGCACGTCCGTCCCGTGAAGCCTTCTCTGCACGGACACTGTCCTGTGAACTGAGGAAAGAGAAATAAATCATGGAGACTCTGCTCTAGACACTTTCCTGGGAAAGCGCTCACTCAGCTGCTCTTGAGCAGTAAAGCCAGCAGATGGACAACCTTCCCCACTCAGCCTGTGTCCCAGGACGTGCCCGCGCTGCTCCTGCCTGGCTGCAGGCTCAGCCTTGCTGATGCAAATACTCTCCAAATGGCACAAGCATTGAAAAGCAGAGTTTTAAGCTTTGTTTCAAAGACAAAGGAATCGCCCAAAAGCAGCTGGTTTGCCATCTCAGGTCTCCTCCCTGCACTAAGCTCATTTGGGACCTAGTTTTGGCTCTTAGAATTTATCATGGGGGTTTTTTTTACATTTAACTTTAATTTTCCCAATTGTCTCTTAAGCCTGAAGTGACACACATGCTTTTCATTGACAAATGAGGATAATTAACTTGCCTTGACTGCGTGAAGATGTCTTATTAGGACTTCCTTACTACATATCAGGCCTTTTAAAATGGCTTAATCTTGCCTCTGTAATTACCACCTTCTTTCATTCTCCTGAATAGCCTGTCATAGTGTTTTCTAGGAAACAGGAAAAGGAAAATAAAAGCAGGACGAGCTAGGGAATGCACAGCCCTTTTGTGGAGGCTCCCACGGACGGCACAGGAAGACAGAGCCACCCAACAGGTGATTTCGATGCTCTGAGTGGTCCACGGCACAGTGCTGCCCAGCAGGGACACAGCTCCGTTGGCAGTGGCACTTTTGGCTGCACAACTCGACCCCCCCACTGCACCCAGGCAGCCCCTCACAGCAGCGTTTGTAGAGCTGGGAAAGGAAAAAGAGCGAGCTTGCAGGTGCATGCATGAAAAAAAGACAGGAAAATTAAACAGAAATATTGCCGAAATACACTGAATCTCCCCTGAGGATGCTGAGGGCGGGCTGGGCGGTACCTGGTTGCAGTGGGGGCTGCGGGAGCCGTGAGGGTGGCAGCCGCAGGGCGGGCAGCCCCGGCCGCTCCCCATGTCCCAGTGCTCGGCTGCACACTGGTCACAGTCGTTGCCCACCACGTTGGGCAGGCAGAAGCACCTCCCCGTCTCATCATCACAGGGCATGTCCTGCCGCATTCCCAGCACGTTGCAAGTGCATCCTGAAATGGGAAAGGGTTTGTCATATTAACAATGGGTGCAGAGCACCAGCCCGGCTTCCCACGAAGCCAGGTCCACAGAAGCACCTTGCAGCCACCCAACGATGAGCTCTCCTGTCTCTCCCTTCATACCCGAGCTCGGCACAAAGGACCCACACCCCTGCGCTAACACCGCACCGCCTGCTCAAGCACTGCAGCAGGACTCAGCAGCCCGAGAGGCCTCAGCTCCCCTCCAGCCCCATCACGCAGGCGATGCTGACCTGAGCCATGGCTGCTCTCTGCTGCTCACCTGCACGGCCTCACCTCCAGCATCCCAACCCCTGCGCACCCAGGGAGGCACTGGAGAAGGAGATACAGACCTACACACACCCCAAACTCCACTTTCCCTGTGCTTTTTGCCAAACTTACACCCAAGACAGGCCAGAGACCAAGCAAGGAGGTTTATAATCCTTTGCAAAATGAGCTTTGGCTTGGAAAACCCAAATCAAAGCTAGCGGGGAACTGCATCCCTTTCAGAGCCACCGAGGATGCTGAGTGCAGAGGTGAGGTGGGAGCGCCCTGGGAAGCAGGGGCTGTTTTGGGGTGTACTCACTGCGGCACCCCATGGGGTTGGCATTGGCCAGCTGGGCGAAGCCTGGCTTGCAGAGGTGGCAGCGGTCCCCCTGCACGTTCTCCTTGCAGATGCAGCGCCCTGTCAGCGGGTCGCAGATGGAGCCCGGCACAGTGCCGTCCGGGTCGCACTCACAGGCTGGAAACGTGCAAGAAACAGCATTGCTGAGGGGCACGAGGGGCGGACAGGGGGTCCGGGGAAGGTGCTACAGGGTGGTAACCAGGCACTCACGCAGACAGGCTTCAGGATGGGCGAGACCTTGCTGCTGGTTGCGAAAATAGTTAGTTTTGCAGCGCTCACAGTTGTTGCCTTCAGTGTTGTGCTGGCAGTTGTCACAGACGCCCCCGCTCGCCCCTCCACTGGCGCGGTACAGCTCCGGGTCGAAGTGGCATGAGGCTGAGTGACCATTGCAGTTGCACCCTAAAAAACCACAACAAAACAGCCCAGCTAGTGCTGCAACTGTGCAAACTCCTCCGGCAGCAGCGGCTGAGGCACTAGAGGGTGCCCGAGTCCCCTGTGTGACACGGTGACACGCGCTGACCGCCCCAGGACCAAGCTGGCACTTGCTAGACAGCGCAGCCAAGCGCTGAGACAGCCCACGAGCCCGGAGCATCGCCCAGCCGCAGCTCTGCGGAGCAAAGCCCAGCATGCAAACGTGCCGGGGTGCCTTTTGCAGAGACATCTATTAACATCCAGCCCCCCAGCGCGTCCCGGTAAAAGGTCTCTGAGCTTGCTCCCAGTGCCATCGCACACGGTTGGGGAGGATTCAGGAAAGGCCTCAGAAGAGAAGGGAAAGGCACTCGCCATACTCTGGCACTCGTGGGGATCGTCGTCCTCTGCAGGTGCCCACGGCCGGTCGTTGTAGAGGGCGGCGCAGCGATCACAGTTGGGACCAGCGGTGTTGTGCTGACACACGCAGTGCCCGTGGACCTGCTGCAGAGACAACGCTTTACCCCTCCTGGATGTTAACTGCTCCGTTCAGAGCTTCACCCTCCTGATGCCTTTCCAGCACAGCCCTGGCCGACTCCTGCCCCGACACAGACCCCATTCCCTGTGCCAAAATGAAGCTTTAGCACCCAGACAGTGCTGGGACTGGGACAGGGACAGGGACAGGGACAGCAAAAGACTGCTCCTCACCTGCAGCAATTCCCACCACCTCTTCCACTCACCCAGGGACAACCACGCTCAAGGCAAAGCAGACAAGCATAAGCTGTGAACAAGAGAATTCCACGACAGCACACAACCTGTGCTGGCAAATCCTCCTGGGCATGAAGGAGCCTGCTGAAACCTTCTGCGTGTTCCCACCCAGCTGAGAGACCAGTGCCAGCAGAAGCAATTCCTCCAGAGCCTCCTACAGCCACTGAGCTTTGTAACTCCTTATAAAGCCCCTCCACCTTCTTCCCAACACAAAAAGGGGGTTTACATGGGGGTACCACAGGCTGCTGTCTCACAGCCACCACCCCATTGCTGCAGACAAAACAGGGCATCATTTCCCCCAATTACAAGCAGCCTCTCCCACACCCCACTGCTGGTCATCCCAGCCGAGCTCTCCCAAGGAGCACCCCTGGGAATTTGGTGGAGCCTGATACCACAGCGCTTGTCTTTAGGCTTTTCACTTTGCCTTGATGCTCACCGCAGCGTGCAGGTCTCCCGAAGGGGCACAGCGGTTGGCGTGTCCGTGGCAGAAGCAGCTCCCAAGCACCCGCATCTCGGTCATGGCGTAGAAGGTGCTGGGTGAGTGGTAGCCCTGGCGCGCAATGTGGGGGAGCTCGGTGAAGTTGATCCGCAAGTTGGTGAACTGTCCAAGCTCTGTTGGGGACCGAGGAGAGGGAGTGAGGGGGCAGCAGGCACCCAGGCACTGGATGCAGAGATGCATCGCGATTCACGTGGAGGGCTCGGAGCAAGAGGCAGAGGCACTGGCACAAAGAGCAGCAGCCGAGTCATCAGCAAAGACCAAACACTGCTCCTTGACACATCAGAGGTGCCAGGGCAGCAGTCAAACATGCAGCTTGAGGCCTTGTTTGCTGAGGATCTGCTCCCCGTGGGGTTACCCCGGCTCAGTGCTCTTGATCACAGGTTGGAGGAACCACGAGGTGGTTCCTTTCCCTTTCTCAGATATAAAAGAGGCCGTTCACTTACTATCGACAGTCTGGCTGTAAGAGGTAGTGATGGTAGATGCCAGGTCTTGGACACTAAATTTCACCTGAGAAGGGAAAAAAGAAAAAGAGTTAAAAAGCAGGAAACACAAGGTGCTTTCTTCTCATGCTGTGGGCAGCGTGTGCTCTGGACCTGCCTCTGCAAAACATCACTTAACACAAGGAAAAGGCTTCAGAGTTGAAGAGGATTTTGCAGGAAGACCAGCACAACACCTCGCCTGTCACAAAGCAGGGAGGGCTTTCCCCCCAGAGGAGCAAGAATCCTCCTGAGGACTCCCCTCAGCAGTGCTGGATGTCCATGGGCTCCATCCCTCACTGGGTATAATACGTGTAAAAGATTTCCAGGCCACCATGTGTTTCTGCAACATTGCACAGGCCACCCGCCCCAAACCCAGGGTCACAGCGGGGAAAGCGGGCACATGTTGGGATCCCACAAATCCTACCTTGCCCCCAGGCAAAGGGTAGCCCTGCAGCGCCTGGCAGCGAGCGTCCTGCCAGCTCTCAGGGGAGCCCCGGGGGATGTGGGGGAAGGTGGCGGCACAGTCGGAGGCCAGGTACTGGTAGACCTCCCAGGTCTTGCCGAAGTCCGTGGAGCGCTCAATCAGCATTGCAGCAGGTAGTGGTGACTGCAGAGCAGGAAAAGAGGCACATCTGTAACACGGCGCATCCCTGCCGGCTCCCACCCTACGGCTGCCTGTCCTCCTCCTTCTCCTCCTCCTCCTCCTCCTCCTCCTCCCGCTCCTCCTCCTTCCAGGCCCCGGGCTCCGCAGGCTGCTGGAGCGACTCCCTACCCTGCAGGTTATCAATAACTCCTGGGTCCCTCCCGTTCCCTCAGCCAGCCCTGCTGCAGCCCCACACCCGCAGCCACAAAGTACCCATCTGCACCAAGGAGATTTCTCAGCAAACAGTCATGGGATGGGAACCCACCACCCTGCTCTGCTCCTCCCAAATTCCCAGGGGGAATGGCCATGCAAACAGGGAAAACGGAGGGATGGGGGCATGATCCCTGGCGTGCTTCCTATCTGGAAGGGAGAAGTGCGCTGAGATCTCCACATCCAGTGGGGCCCATCCACCATCATCTGTGACCTCCTCGCGAGCCGGGATGATGCACACAAACCCTGAAGTGAAGCAGGATGCTGCTGAGCTGGAATGTCTGGTCCAGGTCCAGCTGCACAGAGACACGCTCGATGCCTGTGGGCACAGAGAGGCAGCTTCAGAGGTGCAGACTGCAGACTTCAGGAAAATAAACTGCTCAGCTGCCCAAGCCAAGTCATTTATTTCCTTCCTTCCTTACAATCTATTGAATTCAACACCTCCTCCTCTTCCCTTCAATGCCATTTATTGCCGGGTGCCTGCAGCTGCGGTGTCCACGGAACCCCAACGCGCCCAGTGGTACTCACCGTTCTGGGACTGCCACCAGCGCGAGTGCCCGGCGGAGGACAGGACGTTCTCCACGCGGTGGCCGTTGTAGGCGTGTGGCAGCCGCGAGTCACACCTGCAGCATCTCATGCTCCACTGGAAGACAAAGAGAGGGTGGAAGTGACCGTTCCGGCTCAGCGGGAGGGAAGGACACCGCCGCAGGGCCCAGAGGAGAGAGGCCCATGTGCAGCGTGGACTTGCCGGGGAACAAATGGCATCAGTAAAGCTGGTTTATTAGAGATCTGGAGAACTGCAATCAATAAGACTAACGATACGCAGGACTCAAGTGATCCCCTTCACACCCCATTTAAAAACACAACTCATGGTTTTATGGACTAAGAACTAAAACCAAAATGCTTTCGACTAAAACACATTTTTGGCAAACCACCAAAAATGCCTTTTTTTAAGCAAATCCCCTGTTTTCCACAATGACAACACTTGATAGAAAGCTCTCTGCAGCTTTCCAGGACCAGTTTGCCTTTTCCACACAGCCGAGGGGCTGTTTGTTTGAGGGAACAGAAAGGCCTTTCTCTCGCATCCCAAGGCCCCGGGCAATGCTCGGCACCCCGCGCTCTCCCCCGGGAGCGGAGTGGGAGCAAACAGCTCAGCGGGTGAGAAGTCAGTGGGTGGGAAGTCGAGCGGCTCAAAGTTCAGCCCTTCACTTGAGTAAGTAATTCAAGGAGCAAACAGAGATGTGGCACAGGGAATGCAGGGACGGGAGAAAACACGGTCCCCAAGGAGCAAACAAATACCCAAATTTTGACTAACCAAGCAACGCTCCGTGCAGCCACTACCAGGGGGCCACACGGTGCGTGCGGCACATGAGCAGACTCAGAAATGTGTAGAAAGCGGCAGGAGGGACATTGAGCAAGAGACAGAGACCGGAGAAGGTCCAGACATGGGCCAAGAGGAGAGGTGGGCAGGAGGTGGGCGAGCAGGCTGGGCGAGGGCCACCACCGACGGGGGGGACAGCCAGGTGAGGCCAAAGTGGGAAGGACAGGTCCCCGAGCAATGTTCAAATAGCAGGCGATGACGGAGCCCACAGCTGCATCCCACGGGGGACACGGGGAGGTCCCGTCCAAAGCGCTAGGTACCGGCCACGCTCCGAGCGGAGCAAACACGAGGGGCTGCAGAGAACGCTGTCCCAAAGGCAGAAGTGATATGAAACATTTCAACTAGAAATTGAAGTTGTCGGTGGCCGAAGCAGTAAAGTGGCCCCCCAAATGGAGCAGTGGGACACGCGCTTCACACCGACACGTCCCAACACCTGAGAAACTGGGGAAGATTAACACAGCGCTTGTCAGCGGTGGCAGGCGCCAGCCTTGGCGGCACGGGGCAGGACAGCTCAGAAAGGTCATCCTGGGAGGAAAGTGGGTTTGGGGGAGAGGAGAGGAGTGCATCTGGCACAAGGTCCAACAGCTGACACCGGGAAGGATACGAGATACCCCGCTGCGAGGGCTGGCAGCCCCCGGGGCGGCATAAAGTGACAGCAGAGGCATGGGCATGTTTGGCACCCCAGTGATAGGATCAGCTTTCAGTGGTGGAGCAAAGATATCAGGTGACAAGTGACAAGAAGCACTTGATATCCACCTCTGTGCTAAAATCTCCCCATCTGACACTTAAATAAATGAGCCAATTCCAACCCAAATACAACCCTACCCACGAGCTGTGGTCAGGACAGACCTGTGCCTCGGGAAGGCAGCAGGAGCTGGTGGCCGGGGCGGCACGGTGGCACCAGGATTTCTGGTTTCGTCTTTAAAAGATTAATTCACAGTAAATTGTGAATTCCCTTACTCCTGAAACAAGCTCACCTAAGTCAGCCGAGTCTATTTTTCTACAGAAAAGGACTTGGCTTCGTAAGAACTACCTTCTTTAATTTTTTAATTTGAAGAAAAATTCATGGAAAACTTTGCCCAGAGTTACCTTTTTGCTCCCTCTCACACAAAACCACACAAGGCCAAGGCTGGCTTTGACCAGAAAGCACTAACTGGTCCCACTCCACTTCTCCCCCAGCCCGTGGCCATGCTGTGCCCCGGGAGCAGACGCACAGGGCGAGGGGGCCGGGACGCCAGCTCAGGTCCTGCCTTGGTGTCAGTTCCTAACAAAGCCCAGACCAGACTCTGCTCTGCCCCCGGACCCGGGAACCCTTCAGCCGGATATTGAGGAGAGATCCTCACTTTCAACCGACCTGTTTCCATAATACTTTCCATAGTCTTTATGTTCTCTGTCTATAAATATCCCGGAACAGGAGTTGGCTAACTACAATATTTACAACAATACTGCAGAGTAAGCAAACAGAGAATTCAAAATATACAATCATGGAATTTCCCTGGCTCTACCAACTCCTCCTGCCTCTGCCAGTAAGAATCAGAAATAATGGAACGGGGTCCAGGCAGAAGAACTCATTTCAGATAATGACTATTAGCAGCAAATTGTCAGGAAGCTACAGGAATTATCCACAGAAATAATCTAATGAACAATTCCCAATAATGACTGAACTTCACAACAGTTCTGACTGTGATTAGCAAAGGGAGAAGGAAGGCCTTCTGTGAGAGGAAAGGTTAATCTCAGCTAAATTATTCATTAGGAGTGATTTATGCATACTTATTAGACCATTCACACAGCCGGAGACACAAGTGCCTTCTAGTAGCTACAAAGCAATATTGGCAATGAAGCTGCAACCACACTTAAAACGTGGGGCTAAGTAAAAATTAAGCTTCAACTGCGTGAGACAGACCCTCCCTATGGAGCGTGCAGAAATCTTTGCCTATTTTTTTTTTTTCTCCCCGCCTCCCCCCCACCCCCCAATTTTTTTAATTAAGGCTAAAATTAACACTGGAAGCAAAATCCATTTCACGTCCTTGGATCGAATTGTGAAACCCCTCTGTTGCACAACGGGAGGGTTTGCTATTACTGACTGTGACTATGTGTCTCAAAGTTCCTCGGGACAGAGGGAATTGCCAAAAATGACAGTCCAGCGCTGGGTTTAGGGGAGATTCACCAAGCACACACCTTTCCCCAGCGCTCCCCTTCTTTTATCGCCGTCAGACTGGGTAGAGCCCTGGGAGCTGGGCTGGCCAGGAACAGCCCAGGACTGTGGGAGTACGTGAGAACTGGAAATCAAGAGGTCACGGTCTAAGGTCTAAGCTGGGTCACCGACCCCCGGGGCAGCCCCAGCCCCGGCTCTCCCGCACGTCATCCCCTCCAGCCAGGCACTAAAGTCCCCAACCCCTGTGCTGCTGCCGCGGAAGAGAATCGGTACGTGGTTGAGGAGGTGTGGGACGTGGGGCTGAAAAGTCCTACAGGAAGGCAAAGGAGTTGTAGGTCTGCATGGAAACCACTAGCTGCCCCTCTGTGCCTCCAAGCTACTCCTCAGAATCACCCAAAATAGGGTTCATGCCGATTTGGAGATAAAAGGAAGTTCCTTCCAGCCTTTGGAAAGGTAATTCTCAAGGCAGTAATTTTAGAGGGAAAACAGGAGTGTTGAGAATAAACAGATTCCTGTCTTAGAAATAAATGGCGGAAGGCAGGTGGGGGGGCGAGGGGGTGCGGGTGTCAAAAACAAAACAAAAAACTAATGTAGAAGAACACCAGGTATTGTAAAAATTGCCCACACACTACATCACGCGCCTGGGACACTCCTGGGCAGTGCGTGCGGCACACGGGTGCAGACCCAGCCCTCGCCCCGGCGCCCTCCGCAGCTCTGCTGCGCGTGTTTGCTGCTCTTCTCCTGCTCTGACCTTGTGAACCAGTTGCTGACCAGCCTCCCATGCTTCCCCGCTCACACAGGGGCAGAAAACCACAAATAATTTTAAGCTGATGGACTCAGACCAAAGTATTTTAAGTAGCTCTAGCTGCCATTTTAATATGAGTAGAGAACCCTTGAAATAAAACCTCCTGGCATAGGTGCACAACCCAAAATAAACTGAAGTTATTCATCAGCAAAAAAGAGAAGCTGCTTCTCTCCAGTCATGAAATGAAGACCTTTCATAGCTGCAGAGACCTTGGTGGTCCTGCGTTTAACCCTGCTCCATGTCAGCGAGGGGCACTGTGTCAGTCGGGCTCCTGGCACGCAGCCGCCCATACGGGAGCCTTGTGTCGTCTTGCACAATTAATATTGTATAGGGACAGTAATTACTGTTCCAAGTTTATTTGGGGACAATCTAGAAAGCAGTGGGAAGTTATATGTACACAGAGAGATGGAGGGTTATTAAGAAATAGGGCGGGCAGCAAGAATAAATTACCCTAAGAACAAAGGCACCTGGTAAAGCCGAGTTACGCAACTCCCTATTCCAACCCATTTTCATTCCCTGTTAACAGCAGCTGTAGGACATGGCTATACCAGGCCCCCAGAGCAGGACTCCCCTTGCCTGTGAAGTACTCTGTCCATTTTCCATAGGAAAATGAGGTAGAAGTTACCCATGGTTATGTCGGCGTGGTTAAACCTCTCAGTGAGCAATTCCCGTTTGCTAAACTGGACTGTGCGTCAGTTTTGAGAACAGATCTCTCTGAGCCGTAACACCCAATGGCACATCTTTGCTCGAGCAGTCAGAAGCGACACTGGGAGGTGAGCTCTGAGGTTCTGCTCAAAACACAAATAGAGGGCTCTGACCCTCAGCTTGGTTTGACTGGTGACGCCCAAATTCAGAGGCGACAGCAGCGATGGGAGTGCAGACACAAGCTGGACAAACACCCCGGGTATGGGGTTTAAGGAAATGAAGTTCATTTCTCTTGCTTAAAAGCAAGCCCGTGGGTGCCTGTTTTCCTCACCTCGTCTGTTCTCACATCATCTCCCCTCAGCAAAGCTTCATTTGAAATCTGCCAGGATGACAGTCTGCAACGCCCATTCTGCACCAGCTCATCTCCACGCACCGCCGGGGTCCTGTTGCCTCTGCAACCTGTCTGCGAGGGAATGACGCGATGTCTCCCAGCACATGTGTCACTTTGCAGTCGTGTGGCAAAAGAAGACACAGAGAATGGAGAAGGAGGGGGGAAAAAATAATGGGAAATAGGGTTTTTCTTCTGAACATTCACTGCAGGTAGGGACACATCCCTGCAGGAAAGAGCAGGGTGTGTCTGAATGCCAGAATGAGATGAGATAAGCACAGAGCAGCAATGCGTGGTTGCCTGGTTGCCGTATTACCTTCAACAGGTCGGGAATACAAATTATTCGGTGCAAACCCCTGACATGATGAAGCAATACCCAAAACCAGAAGCCCCGCTTTGAGCAGGGTTTGGATCTCCTGCGGTCCCATCCAACCACAACTATTTCACGATTTTGTGGATGCATTTTTCTGTGTAAAAAACTTGGGTTTGACAGATGACGTGGGTCTGGAAATCAAATGAGCTGGGAGGCACAGCGGCTTTTCAGCACGCTCTCCCCTGTTCCAACACGTCCAGGGCCCGCTGAAGCACCCGGCAGGCAGCACGGTTTGGATCGGTACCGACTCCCTGACCGACTCGTGCAGGTGGGCAAGCAGATGTAACCATCAGACGGTAGCGATAAGGCAGACAGAAGCATGAGTCTTGCACGTACTCCCTCTCGCAGACATTGGCCTGTATTTTTGGAAGCAGCCAAAGACGACGCAGTGCTGAGACACCACAGGCAGAGACGCTGCAGACCAGCCCTTGCCAGGCAGCTGCGACCATCCATCAGCGGGAGGAGGAATCCTCTGCCAGGCCAGGAGCTCTCCTGCCCAGCGGCTCATGCTCCCCCCCCACTAACTCATTTAGGGATTAAGCTTCTCTGGTACACCTCGACTCCCACCTGGATGACCCCACATCACCACGACACACGGGGTGATAAAGGCAACTTCCCACCCTTCGCTCCTCCTATCTACCAAATGCCCATGAAAAGCAGGTGAGAGAAGGCAGAAAATCTTGGTCCTTGACCTTATGCAAACAACATTTTGATATCCAAAGTCTCCCAGGGTCGGGGCGTGAGGACCCACGTAGTCAACACACACACGAAGTGCTCCGCTGCAGGATGCAGGGAACAGCAGCGACACAAGCACAAGCACACCCAGCTTCGCTCCTCTCTTGCCTATTCTTTGGCAAAAGATTTCACGGCACTGCACGGGGTGCTTTGGGTACTCTTCAACATTAATAAAACATCCAGAAAAGTCTGTAGCTATTTTCTAGTCCTGAATATGTCTAAGCTGAAAGCATTGCACAAGCCCAGAGGAAAGAAATGCTCTCCCTCCAGAGCAGCGTTAATCTTGCGGAGAGCGAATACGCCACAGCACAGGTACCAAACACGCCACAGCGTGGGTACCGCTGCTTCCAGCAGCAAAGCGGAGAGCCGAAGGTGTTCACAGTCCTCATGTGTCCCTCGGGAGGGCCAGGCCAAGCAGCGGGACTGGGAACCTGCTAATCCACGTGAAAGCCATACCGTGCCTTCCCTTGGCTAGAGCCAGGGAGTGTGAGCTACCCGATATTCCTACCAAAGCACTATACTTAGCACTTAAACAATAAAGAGATGGGTTAACTGGGCCTTGAATCGCACCTCGGTCAATGAGAGTCTTTCCACACACATCAGCGCCTTTACAACTCCAAATCCAGGCTCGCTTATTTTTCTATTTTATTTTCAGTTTCCCTCTTGCTTCTCCTTTCCCTGCTGACTCAAACAGCCATTTCCCAAGCGCTGATTTCCAAGGCAGACCATTGGTGTGCCTGGTTTCCACCCCCCATCACTTTTCTAACCGTCGCCGCAGTCCCCTGCGCTATAAATGGCATTGCTGAGTGTCCCTCTTGGATTTCACTAGACTGAGCCTATAGCCAGGGAATGGAGCAATCAGTAGTGCGAAGTATAAAGGTTAGAGGGATTTGGAGCCGGAGCAGACAATGGAGCAGAGGCTGAAATCGATGCCCACAGCGAGTGACCCCCCAGAATTGCACAAGAGGACCCTGGGGCCAGCGCGGGCTGGTGGCGGGGCCGGAGGGGCTGCCCCCGCCAGCTGGCAGCAGGGCACCGGCAGCCAGCGAGAGCAACCCCTCCTCCCATGCCCTCTGCTGAGATTGCAAAACCCGCTCCAAATTTGTACCTATTTGGCTACAAAACAAGAGCAAGACTTGTAGTAATAATAAAAAAAAATGTCCTAAGAGTCAATAAATTAAATGTGCTTACTTTTTATGGGATGGGAACGGGAAAATTGAGTTCAGGGGATTAATTTTTGCTTAAATTAGGGAAGTAGAAAAAGGGAGGAAAAAATTATGAAATGCTCAACACGTAGGGATTTCTCCTTTTCTCTCTCTTTGCAGATAGGAGCTGCTATACTCAAAACTCCCATTAGCCACTACAGCTGCAGAACAGAAATAAGGGTCTTTGAGGAATTTGCTAGCGGTAACAATGCATCGCTCGTTTCATACAGGAAAGGATCACATACATGTCCCAAAGCTAGAACTGGAGAATCCAACTCAACATATCAGTGTTACTGTTCCATACCCATTTGAACCCTGGTACTTGTAAGACAAGGTGTGAGGACTATGAAAATTGCAGTTTAGGGACCTGAAGACAAGAAGAGACTGCTGCAGTCTTGCTCTCTGCCTTCCTCCGCCGTGCCGCTACGAGACCTCACTCACTAATTCCACACCAAACGGATCATTTCTGCTCATGGTACATCACAGCCATCAGAGAGACGCCCCGTCTCCACTTCAAAGATTACAAATGATGCAGATGATCACAACTAAAGGCCCTTCAGAGTGATGTCTCAAGGACAGGAGAAGGGAATAATTTGCCCACTCCAGCTGGTATTAGGACGAGCAGCTCAAACAAGGTTTTGCAGACACTCGCTTCCCGTAGCACAATGCCCCTCTTCAAGCAAAAGTCACTGTCAAAAGTCAATGTTAAGCGCATGTTTCAGAGGTACATTTATGTGCAGTCTGCTCAAGTATAAACAGAAATTGGGAAGAAAAAAAAATCAAGTCAGAGCAGAAATAATCGCTGGCTTTTTTCCTGTCCGTAGGCCACAGCACCTGTGAGACGCAGCGGGGTTTGCTGGGGAGGGGAGCAAACAGCCCCATCCCCGGGAGCAGCAAAACAGCTCTGAGAAAAGTAAGCGGGAGCCTGAACGGAGGAAATGCCTGACCGCAACTGTCACCTGGCAGACGCCCTGGCGGAGGGCAGAGGCTGCAGCCAGAGCCCAGCATCCAGCAGGACGTGATGCTGGTACCCGTGCGGGACAGGGAGCTGCCCCAGTCCCACACCAACCAGCAGCTCCCAGCCACCCCTCAGCCCACCGAGGAGCAAAAATCCCTCCAGCCCAGCGAGAACACCGGCTCTGTAACACACGCACTTACTGCCACATCTTGGCTTTCAACTTGAAGGGGAATTAAACCCAGAAGAATGCTGACTCACTCGAGCTGGATTTCAGTGTAGAAAACACCGCCTCACTGGAGGTTTGCCATTTCCTTTCCTCTCCAGCATCTCTCCCAAGACCCTTTCTGCCTGTCCTGCATTGAACCCACTCTCTTTTGAGCTCCTCCTGTGGCAATTACAGGGTTAACATTGCCAGACCGACAGAGAAAGGCTTTAGGAAGTGCTCACATCAGGGACATCACCCCTGTAGGTTTTCAGCTCTCTGCTCAGGCAGACTTATCCTTAAACTCCGATTTGGTGGCAGCTTTGGAGCCTGGGAATCCGCAGCTGGCTGAAACGTTATCCTCCCCAGCACGATCTCCTGCCTCCGCACGACCAGCGTAATAGAAAACAGTTGTTCAGTTCAGAAGCTTTTCCAAGTCTTTGTGAAAGACCTGAAATGTTCCCATTTTTGACAAGTGAAATATGAGTTCAGTTTATAACTAAAAAGTCTGGCGATAGGAAGGCTTGGGATATTTTGGATGAAAAAGCTTCCGTTTTGCCTCCAGTGCTTCACACCAGAGCTTTGCTGCTTTTTCCCTGCCACCACGTTCGTGCTCAGCTCCTCTTCTTGACCATGGGGCTTGAGAGGACACCACAGACGGTGCAATGACCCAACATGGTTGGAAAGGGGATAAACACCTGAAATAGGTTAAAGACATCCCTGCAAAAGGGTAGGAAGGAGGAGAGGATGGGTAAAAGCATTAGCATCCCTACGTGAGGTTTAGGAGCACGGAGGGAGGAGGTAAACGTACCTCTCCGTGGGGCGTGCAGTAAGTTTCGGGCTTGGTGAGGCCACAGGTGGAGGATGCTCTCAGGTGGTGGGCTCGTCCCAGCAGGAGGTCTCCGGCGGGGGGGTAGCAGGCTCCCTGGGAGCAGGCTCGCTGCGTGCCCGCCGGCCACGGGGCAGCTGGAACAGCAGGAAAACACAACTTGGGGCTGTGTCAGGGCAGCACACAGACATCAACCAGTATGTCTGCTGTTTTCTACAACGGACCAACTACAATGTCATGCTTGGGACAAACCTACACAACGCGTATGCCAAAAAGGACAAAGGCATTTTGCCCCTGAATTGCCTTTATTTTTACTAAGACAAAGGCACTTTTATAGTGCTTTGTACTAACAGTTATTTCTGAAACTCTTCTTTGCCATGACCCCGGTGTCTGGGCTGCAGGGACGCCCATCACACTGAACAGCCCTGTTTGGTGTCCCCTGTTTACCCATACAGCCAGACCTACAGCCGGCTGCTCTGGACAGCGCGCAGCCTTTTGCCAAACACCAGCACTATTACCAACTACTGGTCTCCCAGCTGCTGCCACAATACTGCTGCTAATACAAAGCCCACATTAACAGCGTTTCTATTTAGTCAGCTTCCCCCACATCCCTTTAGCAACACCGTATGGTGAGCCTTACCCAGGAGGACAAATAATGCCCATGGCCAAAGCCGGCAGCGAGACTCCATACCGCCAAGGACACACCTAGGGAAGAATTTGCAGCATGAGCTAAAATGAGCAGAAAATGCCAGTCTAAAGCTCAGTCCAGGTCCTTCTCAGTGTAGAGGGAGATAATTTTAATTGATCCACAACAGAATAACACGGGTGAAAAATCAAGAATAATGAAGAGGAAAATCAGGTGCTCAGATTGTATGTTTTTAATATCTAAAGTATCTCAGCTTTTCATCTAACTCATGAAGCATGCACAAGTTTCTCCTAAAGTGTATAAAAGATTGTCCTCTTCTCTAAACACTATCTTTGGATCTTTATGTTATTGCTGAGGTGCACCACAGGTACCAGCACCCCACCTCGCTCTCGGCAGAGCTGTAATTTCTGACTGCCCGGCTCCCCGGGGACCTCGGGAAGCCGCAGCCCCCAGCACCATGATCCGCAGTGGGCAGGGAGCCGGCATTGATGCCAGATCACAATACGTGGCTAGAAACAATGCCCTAACGAGTGTGTGCACACACACCCCCATACACCCCCCCAGCCACCTCTTCCCAGGCACGCTGCGCTTTCTGTTCGCCCGCCCCACCCTTTGCCCCGCGTTTCCACAATAGATTCCAGATCAAAACTCGCCAACGCACGCGATGGCCCACAGTCTCTTTCTACGAAAAGAAGAAACCTGTAAAAATCGCTGCAGAATACGTGTCTCTGGCAGGGTGTCCGCGGGGAAGCCCAGCAGGATTGCCCAGGGGAGGCAGTGCTGCCAGCACACCCCCAGCAGCCAGAAACCTCACCTGCACTCTTCCCTGCGGGAGCGGGAGCACCGTCCCCGGTCCTCACGGTGTCCCTGGCTCGCGGTGAGGGCTCTCTCTCGCTCCCCACACCACCCAGCAGCTGGTCTGTGACTGCAAGAGCCCTCTGCGCGCTGGCTCTCTCCTCTCCCGACTTTTAACACGCAGCTACCTCACCTGGGAGAGAAGGTGCCTGTGGGTGCAGTAATGATAAAGGGAGTGATTCAGGGATCTTCAGACATACACACCCAGTTACCGTATAACTCATGACAGCTCCTAGACAGGGTATACAGCCGCAAACATAAATCACTTCAGACGAGGATGACGGCAGCGTGAACGAGCTGCTCTGCAGGTAACCAGCAAGTGAAAGCCCATCTGGGGTGACCCCACCTGGGGCTTGCGTGGCCACCGCCGGACATCACTGAGCCAGCTTGAAACCAGCTCCCTCCAGAGCCGCTGCACGGCTTGGCGTCAGGGTGATGTACCCAAACGTCTACCCACCCTCCCGGGCAGGTTTTGCATATTGTGCTTGGTATCGTGATGACAAGGCAGTGCCGCTATCAGCACCTCAACCTGATCATTTAAAGCCTAATTCAGGATGTCCATGTGAGTTCTAATCATGCTGTGTATTCACATATCAGACTTCAGCCTTAAGGCGACCTCGAGCGCAGCAACTGGGCTTTACAGGCGGACTTGGTCACGCAGCCCCTCTCTGTGGTACAGGAATAAAATGCCTCAAGACAAAAAATTACATAAGATGAGCTTGAGTATTATCTAGAAAATGCAATCCTATGAACTCACCAGCTCTGAAAACAGTCAGAGAGTCAAATTTTTTAAGAAACGTAATTCTTGTTTCAGTACCCAGCTGCATGCTCTGCTGATGCAAAGCCCTTCTCCCCTACTTTGGACCTAATTCGGAGCTTATTACACTGGAAACAGTATCACAAGTTTATTTTTTTTACTGTGCCAGCAAAGTAACAAAATTTTAACAAATCTGTTTAAGCTGGGGACTGTTGGGTGAATGCAGCTGGAGTGCAGCTCAGCGGGTTGCAGACACAGCCCCCCCCCGCCACCCCCCAGACACACACAGGGCTCCCAGGCACGGCTCACAGGTTGCGTTTCAGCTAAAACGCAGTTTTTCATCCTCAGAAAAACTTGCATCAAGCCTTTTCCATTTACTTTACTGAAATGATCCCAAAATCACGTCCTCTCCCATACTGGTCAGGGGCTCAGCAGAACACGTCAGTCGACTCAGGATCTTTGCTGCCGCTGCTCTGCTGTGTGTGCTACCTACCTGCCGTCCTCGCGCTGAGCGACACGGGCGCGTGCAAGCTGAGGAGCAGGAGCTCACACAAAGGGTACACACAGAGCTGGGGAAAAAAAAAATACTGTCCCTAAGGCTACAGTATGTGAAAGATTGGCTCAGCTTCCGCCTGCGCGAGGTGTGCCCGCAGCGCTGGGTGCGCCTGCCCTTACCCTCTAACTGCTCAGCAATGCAGTAACACCACATTCCTACTCCTGCAGCGAAGACGCCTCCTCCCTGTGTCAGCTGGCAGCAAAAGGAAAGCAGGAAGAAACACAGGAACTTTTTACTGAGAAAGTGAGAGAAGAGTCGTGCCACGAGCTGCCGACACCGTTCCTGCAGGCAGGCTGTGAGCGGAGCCCCACGTGGGCAAAGCCATCAACAGCGTAACCTCCTGCAGTACAGTGCTAACCACCTACCTGTCCTGGGTACGGCTGGGCTAGAGTTAATTCTAGTAGCTGCTGTGGTTTGGATTGAGTACAAGAACAATGGTGGCAACACGTATTGTTTTAGCTGTTGCTAAGTGATGTTTACATTAGACAAGGACTTTTTCGGCTTCCCCTCGAAGCTGAGAGGGAGCACAGACAGGACGAAGTGGCCAAAGGAATACTCCATACCATAGACATGATGCTCAGGATATAAACGGGAGTTGCCCGGGGGGAAAGAATCCACTCAGCATCACTGCTCGGGACAGGCAGGGCAACCCATCATCAGCTGGTGAGAGCAACTTCTGTTGCATCACTTTATTTTGTATATTCTTTTACCATTATTATTATTATTATTATTGTTATTTTCCTCTTCCGTTACTGTTCTATTAAACTGTCTTTACCTCAACCCATGAGTTTGGGGGGTTGCCCCCCTCCTTTTCTCCCTCCCCTACCGGGGATGGGGGGGAGAGGGACAGGAGTGAGCAAGCAGCTGCGTGGTCCTCGTTTCTGGCTGGGTTAAACCTCGACACTACCCCAGGCTCTGCCATTCATCACATCAAACCCTCTAACTTCCTCCTCTGGTGGAGTGACTGTGCTGGAGAAGGCAAAGGGGAGGAAGGTCTGACCAATCTGGGTTTCTGTGAGGCTGCTGGTGATGCTGGACGTGGCACTCTTGCAAGCCTTGGCTAAACATCCACTGCTGGGTGCCTGTTCTGCCTGGTTTAACGCCATACCCTAAAGCACTGGTAGTCAAACCGGGAGGCTGAAGCTGCTCTTGGAAAGACTGTAAATGCCACCCATCGATCCTGCCGGAGCCAGCAGTGCTGAGCATTAATACGCTCTGAAATAGTGATGTTCCACCCCAAATTACTGTAAAGCACAGGGCACTACAATTCTGCCACACAAACAAGGGCAGGACTGGAAAATGCTACCTCAACCACAAGCTGTTTGAATGAATTATCCAAAATACCCTGATCCATCCTTTCCTCCTCCAGCCTGCCGCCAGTAACTTGCCAAAGCAATGCGAAGCATCACCTGAGTTTTCAGGCCCTGCAAGTTCAAACAAGAACAAAAGCAAGGAATAGTCTCATTTACAGCATATTTACTGCAAATCAATTAAAGCACAAAAGAAAAATGCAGCTGTGATCAGCTGTGTACTCAGTGAGAGCGTGGCTGGATGCAGGGGACTCTAGACACAGCCCTGTGCCCCGATGGGACTCAGGGACTCAGGCTCGAAGGCTGCTCCAGGCTGTACTCTGCCTGCTTTACCATGCACAGCTGACGCATTGTCCTGAGTACCGGGGAGTGAAGATGTGTTACAGACCAAGACACATCAAGACAGCAGGGCCGGCTGAATACAGAGGAGATATAATGGTAAAAATGCACTACAAAAAAAAAATAATGTTGGAGCAATCCTCTGCGATCAGTGGGAGGGAGAAGAAAGATGCTCTCAGGAATTCCAGTGCCTTTTCAGTTCAGCCCACAGCTGCCCCAGCCTGTGCCGAGCTGTCAGAGCCCACAAGCCTGGGTCGGCTGGGTAAGACATTCCCTGGAAAACAAATAAAACTAGCTCCAGCAGGAAATTGTACTCTGAGTCATGGGACATGCCCTGCCCTAACACGGCGTTAGGGGACACTACTCTGCTGGAAGCACCTTCTCCAGGATGAGATGCGTGACCAGCTCCTGAGGAACTCCCTCTCCCCACCGCACTGTCATGGAGCCGCTGAATCCTCGCACCCGGTGATGTTCATGTGGACAGGATAAATTAAGCTCCTGCTCTGCAGTGCATGTGTGTGATCTCCCAAGCAGCTTCTCTATCCTGTCCTGGAGGTGCCCGTCAGAGGCAGAAAAGCTGTACATGTTGTGATCCTGCACCCGTGGCAGTGGGCTGGCATCAGAAGATCTTAGTGCCAGCGGTGGGCTGAAATCCCTTCTGCACTGGCAGCAACCAAGAAAGATGCTGCTGAGCTGGTTTTAAGTTTCAGGTGGAAAGAGGTCACAGCACTGAGAACAGAAATGCATCACGGCCAGCTGTTTAAAAGCTAATCTCCCCCTAAAAACAAGGGAGGATGCAGCACAGCCCTGCCAGCTGGGGACACGTGTGTCACTCAGTGTCACAAGCTCACACTCTTCAATGGCTAATACCTGCCAAGCCTCTGCTCTCATAATTAGGGTCCTCAGCCGGACAGGCAGCCAGAGCCCCACTGCCACGT